GGGTGAGGGGGGGGGTCTCCTGGGCTGGGGGGGCCGGGATGAGGGCCCTACCCTGGGGGTCTCCTCCTCTGGGACCCCACGCAGGCGACTGTAGAACTCCAGGTGCTCCCGCCCTGTCAGCAGGTCTGTGATGGCATCGAACTGGGGACAGTAACCCATGTGCTGGTGGACAGACTGGAGGTCGGTGAGCACACTGTGGGACAGGGACAGGTCAGCACACTGGGGATGGGGACAGGGGAGCACAGGATGGGGACAGGTAAGCATGGGACAGGGACAGGTCAGCACACTCTGGGGATGGGGAGAGGCGAGCACAGGATGGGGACAGGTAAGCGTGGGACAGGGACAGATGAGCATGTTGCGGGGGACACTGCAGGGACACTGCAGGAATAGGGACGAGCAGCTGCAGGGATGAGGATGAGGATGAAGGTGAGCACAAGCACACCGCAAGGACGAGGACCAGAAGGAGCACAGGATGGGGATGATGGCACAGGTGCTGTGGGGACACAGAGAGGGGGAGCAGCCGTGGGGCCTCTGCGTTCACCACCTGTGCCCCTTCAGCCAGGCCTCCCCCAGCGTCACCTCCGTGTCCCCCGTCAGCATCTTGAAGGTCGAGGTCTTCCCAGCGCCGTTCACCCCCAGGAGGCCAAAGCACTGTGGGGACAGAGCAGGGTCACCAGCAGCCCCGGCCCTGCCCACAGTGCCATCCATCCGTCCGTCTGTCCCTCACCTCCCCGGGGGGGATGGCCACGCAGAGCCGGTCCACGGCCGGAGCCTTCCTGCGCCGGTACACCTGAGCGGGGGGAGGCAGCGCTGGGTGCTCCCATCCCTCACGGGGGTCGGGGGCTGTGGGGGGTCCAGCCCTACACACCCACCTTGGTCAGGTCCTTCAGCAGCAGGAGCTGGCCCTGGGGGGGGCTGCTGCCCACCCTCGCCCGCTCCCTGGCCACGTCCCGGTCCTCGTCCCCCAGCGAGGGCAGCTCCGGAGCCCGTGGCCTGGGGGAACAGTGGCAGGGGGGCACC